GATAATTACTGCTTCAACTTGTGCCCTCATCTCCGGCGCAAGCCATTGATAATCCACATCAGTGTTTAAGACAACTCGATCCATAATTAGACCTACAAAAAAAAAAAATCAAAGTAAAGAAACAAAAGAAAAGAAAACGTTCAAATTAAATCTAGAATTAACCAAATTTGATATTAATTAAATCAACAATTCCCGGCAACGGCGCCAAAAACTTGATGCACTAAAATCACCCTAACAAGTGTACTAGTCGCTCCAAGTAATATAATGATGAGAAGAGTGTCGAACCCACGAGGATTGTATCTAACTAAATACCAAAATAATTAATCCAAATTTATTTAAACAACCAAATGGAAAGAAAGTTTAACTAAAAAAATAAAAAAAAAAAAATAACAATTAAATTAAACCTAACCAAGATATGAGGTACTAAGGTATTGACTTCACCATAATCAATCAATATAAATTTTGAATTACCAAATTGTTAAGTGTTATTGCATGTGATGGCGGATTTCCTTAAATTAATTAACTAGTTTTCTCAAGTCAAGTTAATCTTTCACTAATTTGTTAAATTAATCATATCTCTATGTAATTTTAAACCAACTAGTGAGCATTAAATTCTATGAAACCTTTAGCTTAAGAAGGGGGAGCAACTAACTCTCTTCTCTTCCTCCGCTACCACATGTGAGCTAATTACCTCTCAGTCTCATAGTCTAACACGGTTTATATTATTATTGGTTTAATCTACGCAATTCTTTCTCAAGTTCATGCATAAATTACTAAATCAATTGAAAGGTGATTAGACTTCCAATGCATTAAGTTCAATAATATAAACCCTTTATGCAAATAACTTTAATTGAAAGTATAAAATCACTAAATTCATATTGAATTGATTAGACTACATCATAACCGTAATAGAATAAATCAATTCATAATAAAAATAATAAAATCTACAATCATAGTTATGAACAAAGAAGAATAAAACCCAATTTGAGAAAATTGCAATCCTTGATCTCCTATTGTTGAATCTTCTATCTTGACCTCCTATTGTTGAATCTTCTATCTTGACCTCCAAGAATGCCCAAAAGAGGGCTGACACAAACCTCCCAAAACTCCCTTAATTCTGAATTTGGATGAGTATTTATAGGATTTTAGAAACCCTAATTAAAATAGAAGTAGGACTTAGAACAAAAATAGGAAACTGAATTTTGGATGCTGATCGCGTGGCGCTGACAGTTCGGATTACATGTTGAACAGAATCAGATTCTGGACGTTTAACGCATGGTGTCGACACCCCGATCATGTGTCGACACTACACCCGTGTCGGGTTTCTGGTCTCCTTTTGCAATTTCTTCAATGGTAAAATAGCAAATTTGGTTCCTAACTTCTGGATTCTGCACAAGTTGATCCTCAAGTCTCTGATCTCTTCAATTTACTTCTAAAAAGTAGAATTTTTTCCAATTAAATTCTTTCCTACACAAAGGATGAAAACCATATAAAATCAAATAAAATCCCATAAAACTCATCCAAATATCAATAATATCAAAGTAAAAATTCCCTATTAATATGCATATAAATTTAGCTCATCAATGCACTACCATTCCTTGTCCTGGATGTTCACAACTCTGGTGAAACATACCTTGTCAATCCAAACCATGGAGATGATAGCTGGAGGCTAATTATTTCTATCTTTGTCACATTGTACAGGGGGCTCAAACACAACAAGTTAACTGGCACCTTGTCTATAGGCATGGAATTTAGCAACCAACTGAGCCTAGTAGATTTGCAGAACAATGAGATTACTGACTTTGATGGAACAGGAGGAAAAAACATTCAGATAAGGTGAGAGAATCACTTCTTCTGGCTTTTTTTTTTTCTCCATTAATTTATTTTTTGCTTAAGAACTTGGCTCTTTTTACTTGGAGGTCAAATTGCCTTTAGATGTATTCTCTTCAAGTGTTAAAGCTTATGAATGTCTTTCTTGGCTCAATAGATTTAATTAATTTATGCAGACTTGCTGGTAATCCCATTTGTGAAGAGACAGGAGTAACAAAAAATTGCTGTGTAGTTCCACAATCAAATCCCACTTCCTTGTATACTACCCCTCCCAGTCCCAGCAGCTGCCCGTCTGCTACATGCAGTTCAGACCAGGTTTATAGCCCCAGATGCACATGCGCATATCCATATACAGGAATTCTATTTTTTAGAGGAATTTTATTCTCAGACTTGGAAAACTCAACCATATATGTGGCTCTACAGACAAATCTGACGCAGTTCTTCCAGCTCAACAATCTTCCTGTTGATTCAGTTTCACTAAGTAATCCAATAATGGCTCCTTATAGCTATCTTCTATTGAACCTTAGTATCTTTCCATATGGCCAAGATAGATTCAATCGAACAGGGGTTTCTACAATTGCATTTATATTTAGTAACCAATCTTACAAGCCACCACCTAATCTTTATGGACCTTATGTTTTCCACGGTGATGCTTACAACCACTTTTCAGGTATTTACACAATTATTATAGAACCATAATGAACAATTAAATGTAGCTCTATTTGATGTTAATCCACACTTTTATGTCATATGTGGTTTCTTCAGACACTAAAAACTCCAAAAAATCAACTACTAGCATCATTATTGGAGCAGCTGTTGGTGGCTCTGTGCTCCTGCTACTTTCACTACTTGCTGGGGTTTATGCTTTTCATCAAAAGAAGAAGGCAGAAAGAGCAAGCCTAGAGAGCAACCCTTTTGGTATGATTAGCATTTATTTACTGTGGCATATTCAAGTTGATAGCATACAAACTTCAGGTTTCTTGACTCATTCTCTGCTGTACAAATGCAGCACACTGGGATGTTAAGAAAAGCAGCGGAAGCATTCCTCAGTTAAAAGGTGCAAGATGTTTCTCTTTTGAGGAGCTTAAGAAATATACAAATAACTTTTCAGAGGCTAATGGTATTGGATCCGGGGGTTATGGAAAGGTGCCTCTCCCTCTCTCTCCCTAAAAGTAAAATGATTTTTCTTTCTTAAATAAAATTGTGTTACTAACCCCTTTTCATTTGAACCGATAATTTTACAACTCGCATGTGTTGGTCTTAGTTGCTATAGGCACATACATACAATTAACATTTTTATATACATATATATGGAGCAAATAAGCCCTTGATGAAACTTTGGTAGCATATCCACCCCAGAACTTACAAATAACTGCAAATCTCCTCAAAGTGATAGAAATTGTTAGTTTATATTGGTCAATGTATCGGATGTGGTATGATAGGCTGACTAAGGTCAGTCAACAATGTCCATCAAATTTGGGGAGATTTGCTGTTGTTTGTACTTTGTAAATTGTTAGGTGGATTCACCACCAAACTTTCATTAGGGACTTATTTGCTAGTAAATTTTATTTTAAGGGGCTTATTTACCTATTATTCCAATAAAAAATAGCAGTTTTAGTTGCTGGAAAAGAAAAAAAAAACGATTAGCTGTTTTAGTTGGAACTTTTGTATTAGAAAATAATCAATGTATACTCAAGGTCTACCTTTTATATTAGAAAAGTTCCATGCGGAATTTTGGCAACCATGCAGTATGATCAATGCTATGCTGCTAAGTAAATCATGAACATGATATGATTAACATAATTAATTTGGCTTCAAACTTTTGTGAATCCGGCAGGTTATCACTGAAACAAATTACAAATTTGTCAACTTTCCAACACTGCTGTTCCTTTTCTCAAATTTGTATTTTTTGTCTTCAATTATTATGTGTTACATTACATTACATTACATGATTAGTAAAGTTTCAATCTTCAATCAATTATAGGTCTACCGGGGAACTCTTCCCAATGGAGAGCTGGTTGCAATTAAACGAGCCCAGCAAGGATCAATGCAGGGTGGGCTGGAATTCAAAACAGAGATTGAACTTCTATCTAGAGTCCATCATAAGAATGTTGTCAGTCTATTAGGATTTTGTTTTGAGCGAGGTGAACAAATGCTAATATATGAATATGTTCCAAACGGCTCTTTGTATGAAACTCTATCAGGTATGTTCCTCCATTTCTTCTGTTCTTGACCCAGCATGAATTACTTAACGAGTTATATAGACAGTATTCTTATAATTTATATGTACTATTGTTGAAAGAGCAATGATAAGTCTCAAAAGGCTTTGTGAATATAGACAGTATTTTTATAATTTAATTTTTACAACTTGTTTCTTTGCAACTGTCTAATGATTCCAACTAGTTATATTACATTTTATCTATAACAAATGAATTTACGTTATACCCTTCACATTTCTCGGATAACAAGCTATCCTTACATTTAGCAAAAGTTCCATTTAATTTGCTTCATTGGAAAGTTTCATACTATCTGCAGGAAAGTCAGGAATCAGACTAGATTGGACTAGGCGACTCAAAATAGCCCTTGGTTCAGCTAGAGGCCTGGCATATTTGCATGAACTTGCCAATCCTCCCATCATACATAGGGACATTAAATCAACTAACATATTATTGGATCAGCACCTCACTGCTAAAGTTGCCGATTTTGGTCTTTCCAAGCTTATAAGTGACAGTGAAAAAGGTCATGTTACCACTCAAGTCAAAGGGACAATGGTGAGAGTTTTAATACACCCACTTCAGTGGGATAATAAGGTTTAATTATTTTAGTGATGATTCTTTACTTTGCTAGAAGAATTTGACCATACCTGTGGTTTTTGTTATCTGTGTAGGGTTACTTGGATCCTGAATATTATATGACTCAGCAGCTAACTGAGAAGAGTGATGTTTATAGTTTTGGGGTGCTTTTGTTGGAGCTGGTAACTGGAAGAAGACCAATAGAGCGAGGGAAGTATATTGTAAGAGAGGTGAGAATGGCAATGGATAAGACAAAAGGCTTGTATAGTCTTCATCAAATTCTTGACCCAACCATTGCAGATACAAGCCTGAAAGGTTTAGAAAAGTTTGTGGACCTAGCAATGAGCTGTGTGAAAGAATCAGGAGCTGACAGGCCTACAATGGGTGAAGTGGTAAAAGAGATTGAAAACATCATGCAGATTGTTGGGATGAATCCCAATGCTGAGTCAGCCACAAGTTCATCAAGTTATGAGGAGGCATCCAAGGGAAGTACCCTCCATCCATACGGTGATCAGTCCTTCGCTTATAGTGGTACATTTCCAGTTTAAAAAGTTTGAACATATGTTGAGTTTGGTTTAAGTTTAGTTTTTGGAGAATTGAACAACTTCTGTGTCTGGCATTCGGTTTAACAGCGGGACATATATACATATATATATATATATAGATATAGATATGTTTTTTGTATAGTTTGTCTTTTGTTTGCTCAATTTGATAAAAGATAGAAAATTATTGTCATTGTGTAGAAACAGGTAAAATGCTTTTGGAGCTCTGTCTCCTAATTTTATTTTTGGTGTTTTAAGTATCATTACACTCTCAAAACCATATCGACAAAGAATTATTTTTTTATTATAAAATAATTCTTTTTTTTAACTCGAAATTTAATCTAATTAATTATATTATTGTAAACTATAGAAAAAAAATTTCACTTTAATTTTAATTATTTATCTTATCACTACATTTATGAATTATTTATCTTATCACTACATTTATGAAGGATAATAATAGAAGTAAAAACAAAGTAAATTTTTTATAAATTATTAAGAGTTTGTTATTTTATCTTTTTAATTATAAAATAAAAATTTTTAAATGAAGGAGACCTTCAATATTAAAGAACTACCTCTTATTAAAGAATTAAAATTTTATAATATGAAATAATTTAAATCCTAAAATAGTATTTTAATTTATTCATCTATAAAAAGAAAGTTCTTTTTTTTTTAATGAAAGGGTTTTAAATTTGGTGGGAGTTCGTAGTTTTACATTTGTTCGAAATTTTTATTACTAATAATAATGATGATGTAATGAAATGAAACAAGAACAAACCCTACCCTCTATTATTATCACTAGCTGTACCACCAACCGCTCGGCGGGGTGTAGTGTTTGGCCCAACTTTGAATATTTTGTCATGGCCACAATTATTAGGTAATTGTAGAGAAATGTACATAACACAGTGAAAATCTGAATCATGCGAATTCATGCCTGACTGTTACTATTAAAAAATAACTCTGAATCACATCTCAACTTTCACAAAAATAAAAATTCTTGAAATGTCTTAAACATGGAACTTAACAAACACACAGTAGTTTTAAC